AAACCTCTCCATGTCTTGTTGCCAGTTAAGATACGAGGTCCAATAAATATCTTCTAAATCTCCCCATGTCGCAGGTTTGGCTCTACCAAAACACTTTGTAGCATCCTTTGCAAACAGCTTCACCTGCAAATTTTATGAGATTGTTATTTTTGTGATATTGGATGTTATTAATGTGTAATATACTTACAACTTGGTGGACAACATTCTTATGCACGGTGTTGGGAAGAGAGTCATACAATTTCTATTTTTTTCAATTTCAGCTTCCCAACCAACAAAGTCCAATGGTCGTTATGAATTATAGGAAATAATATAATTTATGTTTCTTTTATATTGTCCTTCGTGATATGTTTCAAGAAAGCCATAAAAATATGGATAAATTAAACAATTGCAAATTACCCAATATTGCGACGTTACAAAGAGGCAAAACTTGTATAATTCGGGTGACCTGGCAACTCTTTCACGCAAAATGTCAGCAAAGACATCAACACGTTCATTTCCAAGCCACCCGTTTAGCAATACATCCTCAAAGTCGGGTCGATCAATTGCCCGCCCATAACCTTTATTTACAAGAAAATCATGTTTGCACATATAAGAGAGAGAGAATGTCATATTTGAAAATCAAATTATTGCGTAAAATCAAAACGACTGTCAAAAATTACTTACACCCCAGTGTGTGTAGCAATGCAGTCATCGATAACATCTTGCATCTCACGTGGTACTAATGATCTACCAAGATATTCTATGTACGATGCCGCAATATGAGGCTGCAGAATAAAAAAGCAAATTATGAACACTAACTAAAAAATTGAAATGTAAATGGATTATTTTTTTTTACCACTATTGTATGGCTCTCAGCAATGGAACTGGTGCTCCAACTAGTGATCATTATTGGTTTGCTTTGCATTCCCTGGTTAATTATAGAGGTTCCTAAACCACCGGGCGTCAACGCAATTGATTCAATATTTTCTTCAGCCTGAGCCAGAGTTGTCTCTGCCTCAAATGATACAACATCTGACACTATTAATGATTGAGGTTCTTGGAAAAAGGTTGTTCTGGATTTATTTCCGATTGATGGCCCTTGTGGGGTTCAGTAAAAACATCACGTTAAAACAAAAATACATAAGTTTTTAAACACTATAAAATAAGTTGTTTACCGTAAAGAGCACAATATCAAGAACATGATATGATGTTCGTTCAACTTCATGGGGTACCTCCTGTAGTATCGAATTCCCTGCTATAACATTGTCTTGAGCAGCATTTGTTTGATCTTGGGGTTCAATATCTACAATGGACGACACGATATGAACCTACCAAAAAAACAAAAAATCATTAAAACGTGCAATTAAGATAAAATTAACTACTGAAGGGAAAAAATGATAAACTAACCGTATGAGACAGATAACCAAGAAGATCCCGAGCAACAAGAACTTCAGCTGGCGCTTCATTGTGAACTGGTAAATTCACATTAATTCTGCTCCTTTTTTTTCTCATATATGGACCTACTCTTTCGGCGACTTATATGTTCTTTATCAGCTTTGGACTCTTCTAACCTCTTAACAATAGTTGTGAGGGTGGACAATGAATCTTCAACATTAGTTATTTGTTTATTCATGACAATCATAGTTCCTGCAAACTTAAACTTATCTGTTATTGAGATTTAAGTATCTCAAATATGTTCATTACCTCCCATTGCATGTGTTGCATTTGGGGTTACCTCGCTTCAAACAATTGTACCTACACCATGGGATTTGGGTGATGGCGGTCCAACTGAAGTTTCATGACGACCAATACGAGGAAGAGTCATAGCAGGGCTTGGTGGTCCATGATCAGGATTGGACAACAAGTTGAGCTCATCTTCCGTCAAGTTGATGAAGGTGTCGTTAACCTACAATATAAATCATAATGTTTTACTTATATTTAGTAAAGTAACATGGAAACTTACCCATATAAAATCTCATAACAAATCAACTTACTTACTTGGACATGATCGAGCACCCTAAAGGCTTCGTGAATTCGTGCTGCTATCCACTCATGAATTTTTGGCCATCTCAGCATTCGTGGTCTAGCATCAGGTGCAGTGGGAGTAAAGAGAGTTGTGTGCTAGAAGAACCAAATTTACAGATAACACATATCAAAAATCATTTTGTCATAATGCAAAAAAAAAAACAAAAATATTTAGTGAAAAGGAAAATTTTTAATTGTAGCAAATATGAACTTACAGATAAAAGAAGAACAAAACCACTTATGTAACCAAGTGACTGATTTTGCCTTATTTTAATTGCAACAAAGTTCATTTGATCGATCATATAATCACAGATAGCAGCAGGCCAGTTAAACGAAGAGAAGGTCTGTACATTCTCTCCAAATGCATAAAGACATGCAGGCACGCCAAAATTGCTCGAGGGAAAGAATAAATTTGTCAGTAAAAACTTAAGAAATAATTTCTCAAAAGGAGTGGAAGACTCTCCTGAAAACTTAGTCACATCTTCCTTTATTGCTCTCAAATCTACACTGTTTGTAGATCGTACACAAAAAAGTAAAAAAGCTGTATTCATTGTCTATCTAGATTGTGCGTGGAATTTTACCAACTTCCCACCCATCACAAAAGCTCTTCTTTCTTTATTCCATAATCCCATGATATGTAGAGTCAACATATTATCTTAAGGATAAGGAGACATGTCAAAAAACTGACTGACATTTATTTCTCTTAAAAAAGTCATTGTTTCCTCAGGTATCCTCAGGTACAATTCCTCAGGTACAATGTATCTAACAGTATCAGGTGCACTTCTCACTGTGGAAGGACGACATCTACAATTGAACGTTCTTGCGTTCATCTTCAAAAGAAAACATAAGGAAATATTATTTTATAGATAACAATCTTCATCCACAATTTTAAAAATGACTCAAGTGTTATTATTAGAAGTTTTTGCTATGTTACATATGTGTTATTGAAGTGTTACATATGTGTTATTTATGTGCTATTTATGTGTTATATGACTGCAATAGTTCAATTTTTGTGGTGTTACAAATGAGTTATTATGTGTTACTGCTGTGTTACGGTGGTGTTATCATTGTATTATTGTTGTGTTATAATGTGTTACTATTATGTTACTGTTGTGTTATTGTTGACCTCACTTTTGCTTGAGATTTAATTTTTCCTCTTTAGTAGTCTAAGGTCTAGTCATATAACTTTCCTGGTGATTATTCCTAGAAAACTATAAAATGAACCCTCACTATTAGAAACTCTAAACTCTTCTTTTCTCAACTTGAAGTTTCACATATTGGTCCTAACCTCTATCACTTAGTAGGTGGGGCCACTATAGGGGAGCTCAAGGGGAGTGCCCATAGGATTGCTTGGCCTTAGGGTTGACTCTGGGTGTTGGTCTTGAGTTGATACACATACTTTCACTCACTTGCACATTATACTTCCACTTACAACCCTAAACTCAAACTTTCCTTAAACCTTAAAAAAAATCATTTCAAATATCTCCAAGACTAATTTGGACCCATACTTTGAGCCCAATTTCAATCCAAGTCAAAAAGCACCAATTTTGACCATATGACCCAATCCTATCAAATTGAACCCCATAGCCTACTCAATTTGCCCCAATTTGAATCCAAAACTCTTTACAATATTCCCCCACATGAAATTGAAACTTCAATTGGCCTTGGTCAAGTCTCAATTTTACTCAAGTTCGACTGTGGACCAAAATCCTCAATTGGGCCTCAAATTAGCCATGTCTCCAAACGTCCCCAAATTGAACGTCATAACTCCATAATTCCCACTCTATTTTTATCCAAAACACTTCATAACAATCACCTACATCAAATTGAACCATCAATTGGGCCATTACTAAACTCTAGCCTAACCTAGCCGAACTTGAACCCAAAATGGACCCACCTCAATCTATAGTCCAAACCACTTCTTTACTCTTTTTGAAGTTCTGCATTTGGTTATTGACCTCTAGCACGTAGGAGGTTGAAACCGACATGAGGGAGCTCGAAAGGAGTCCCTATAAGACCCTTGAGCCCTAGGACTACCTTTTGCATGATTCGCACTTCCGCGCGCACAGACTTCACAGTTAGAATAGTCGACTCGTTTAGTTTTTGCGATTCGCATCGCTTGCGCCGTTATTTGTCAAAAACTTAAATAATTTTTTTAAAAAACAATCGATCATGGATCAAAATTTTGATGAAAATTGAATTTGACGTGTTTTTGACACGATCGTCGATGAGGTCGTCGGAACAACTCCGGATGTCAAAACGGATTGCGCTGGCACGTCTGGAACATCGACTTTGCTTAGGAAGGACGCCCACTTTGTCGTGGTTTGGTGCACAGACGAATATCGCATGAATTGGAGAATTTTAAATATTAAGTATTATAAAAAAATCCTTTTCTTTAATCCTAAGTCCCTAACCTAACTCACGCCTAGGGCTGTCAAAAAAGCTCATTGTTCGCGAACAGTTTGTATTCGGTTTGTCAATGAATTCGTGTTCGATTCGTTCGATAAGTAAACGAGACGAACGTGAACATTTTTTTTTTTCATTCGATTAGTTAAACGAACCAAACACGAACAATGATGCGTTCGTTCATGTTCGAATCATTATTGTTTAAAATATAAAATAATTTAATA